GCGTGGCGACTGAAATCGCCTGAGGTATGCCTTAGGCCTAGGGGAACGAAGGCCTCCAGTTTCCTCTGCGGACGACTGGTCCTGGAACGACATGCAGCAACATTGCAAGAGGACTACTTGGCAGCGAAAAACGGCACAAACTGGCGGCCTTCGTTCCCCTACCCGGGGATTAACGAGTGAGTGAGACACTCAGTCTGTCTGAGGTGATAGTCTATCTCTGTTTCGCTAATGCAAACTCATAGTTTGAATAGGTGAACATCCTCATGTTTGCGCATCACGTATAGCCAATATAGATCACATCTTTTTTTTACATTTTTTTCTACTATGAAGCGCGTTCTGGCTTCAGGAAATATTGTGGTGTCATCTGCAAGAAATTTCATTTTCAGCAGCATTGAATTTGAGTCCCTGAAAACTTTGTTACGAACTTGCAAGATCATAAGAGAGTGCGCTTGTAATTTAGGCAAGCGCTTGTGAACAGCGGCTCCAACAGTTCTAACAACAGTGCGTCTGGTGAAGGAAATGAGCGAGCACCGAATAGTGGCGCAAGTACTCCATCCAAGTACCGACAGCAACCCTCCACTCCTCGTGACTCCAAGAAGAGAAACTTGCCCTCCGATGCAAAAAGAAAATTGTCCTGTTCCGCAACACGCCCTGGAAGTTCAGCGGAGCCACGTTAGTGTACTATTTACCCACTTTGTCTCCATATTCTGTAAGGATAAGGATTGCAGAGGATGATGATGATGAGGTGGACATAGAATCAACCGCAGGAGGATCCTCTAGCATGGACGCTTTCAAACTTTTCGAAGTTCCTGGACGGTAAGCTTTATTTATCTGGATTTAACTATATAAAATTTTTTAAGTATAATTTTCGACACGGAATGCTTTCGACTACATTGGAGTTATTCAAACTTAAATCCTAGTTTATCTTTTGTTATCTTCAAAACATGTCAAAAGTGGTATGATATAATTTCAGAAAGTCCATGCACACTTGTCCCTTCGAAGGTTGTCAGCATCGCTATGCAACTGGCGAGGAAATGGAGTATCATAAAGCTACAGCACACGGAAAGAGAGCTGTATGATTTTGGTTGTCAACCGACTCATCTTTGCCATGTAATTTATTCATTTCAAGGTCATGTATGAAGCTATCTGCTGTCAAACGGACATCTCTGCTTTGCGAAGACGCTCTGTACAAACCGATGTTGAAGGACTCATAGTGGAAGAGCCTCCTTGCCCAGTGGCAACGGCAGCAGTAGAATGTCCAAAGGTAATGTTTGACGGTTTTGAGATTCATCTTCCTTGTCAGGTTGTAGGTTCTTCAACAGCAAACTTTTTTAAAATAATCGTAGAACTGAGGTATATGAAATACAGCAAATTAAAAAAATCCACCAAATAACAGAGTTTTTTCCGATATGAATTCTATCTTGTAGGAGAGCACTCCCACTCTACCAACGGCAGCAGAAGCGAAAGTTGAAGATCCACAACCAACGAAGTCGCCAGCGGGTTACTCGGACATTTCTGATGATGGCGTCGCTCCACAGTTGCAGAAGGTATGCGCTATCTTACAGGAATTATATCTCTCATTCTTTGCTTGAGTAATGGTTTACATTATGTGCGTTATTCTAGGAAGAGCCTACTAGTGACGTCCGTGCACCTCTTCTCATTTCCACAACGCTTCCTCCAACTACAGTGACTGGACCTGCAAACGTACTTACTTCACCAGAATTTGCTCCTAGCCCGAAAGAAAAGGAGTCTGCGCCAGGTATTGATTAGCCTGATCTCACGTGTTTTTGTTTTCCGTTGTCCAAAGTTTGGTCCTTCATTTTCTTCCTCTTCGTAGATTTCGACGGAACGCTTATGAAAAGCTGTCAGGAGCGCTGGAAAATCTTGTCATCGTTCCAAAAATAATACTATTTGCTTAGCTGCTCTATATGCTAGTTATTTGCATCGTTTTCAGAAGCTGAACAGCCCACTTCTCAACAGCACAAGCCTTCTCGTCCTTCTTCTATGCCAGTGGCACCAGCTACGCCAACTGCTCCACAGTCCTCGTTTCAGCCGGTGTCAGGTCTGTTATTTCTTTTGTCTTCTTTGGAAATTGAAATGCAATGTTCCTATCGTTGCATAGTCTTTTACGAACTATTACAGCTGATCGCAATCGAAGTACTATGAATGGTACTGGAGTTAGTCCTGTATTGAATTCCGTTGGAACACCAACGTCTGTTTCGGCAATATCGGCGTCAGCTCGCTGTGTGTTGCTTTCTTTCGAGAATTTTGTCATGTAAAGTGTTGAGCACTTATTTTGAGAAAATTCTGAAAAAATACATAATTTTTCGATTGTATGCAAAGATTTGCCCCAAGTCAGGGTGGAGCAATATCTTGAAAATTGAAGACTTTTGCAGGAATTGAAGATTATTACAGTTAAAGCGATCGATAATCATTTCAGTACCTGTGACTCCCTCTCCTGCTGGACTGTACATGCCTTCATTCGCTCATCAGATGATATCGCCTTTCGCTCCTGCTCAGCTCAGCACTCCGACGGTGAATCCCGCGCCATCCCCTCAGCAGCAATCATTGGGCAAACTTTCTCAGACACATATGAAGTCAGAAGGTTAGTATCTTTACATGGCTTTCCCTAGCGGCTTTCTCTGATTGCTTTGACTGCAGATGTTTCTTCATCTGGTGTCTTATCAAGTGCAAGAACAATGCAATCTCCCGCTGCGCA